AACAGATGGCGCTGCACTTTTATTTCATACTTGCTTAACTCTCGATGATTTAACTGGGTCTTAAGTTATTAACTTTCTGCGTGACCCCAAGATCGGTCGTGGGTACGGTCCCACGCTTCGCCATCTGTGGCGTAATGTTCAACAGATGGCGCTTTTTATTATTTCATATGAAAATGAATACCATGGGAGCTGTCCCATGCTTCGCCATCTGTGGAGTAACATCCAACAGATGGCGCTACATTTTTGTTTCATTTGAATACGAATACTTTGGAAACGTAGGACTCCACCCTCACCCGCAATTGGGGTGACGCGGGTAGCTAATAACTTGAGATCAAGCTAAATCCGGGAGAGTTATCAAGAGTGTTTAAAATTGTAGCGCCATCTGTTGAACATTACTCCACAAGTGATAACATCCTTCAGAGGAGCGGTTTGCACAGCCCAATATGATACTAAGTTTCTACATTTTAATTACATTTTCCTGGCTTTCCATGAGGTTTAAGTCCATAGTTGGCGCTACAGTTAATAACTAAAACGTCATGGAAAGCCACGAAGTATAGTTAAAATGTAGCATCTTCGTATCATATTGGGCTGTGCAAATAGGTCCTCTGAAGAATTCATTTTACATGGTAGGGCTGGAAGTACTGAGGATTGAAGCGTGGGGCATCACCCTCACCCACCTTTATAATCATGCCGAAAGTTAATCACTTGTAGATTAATGTTCAACAGATGGTGCTACTGTTTTAAATATTTTCTTGTTAACTCTCCCGGATTTAGCTTCATCTCAAGTTATTAGCTACCCGCGTCACCCCAATTGCGGGTGAGGGTGGAGTCCTACGTTTCCAAAGTATTCGTATTCAAATGAAACAAAAATGTAGCGCCATCTGTTGGATGTTACTCCACAGATGGCGAAGCATGGGACAGCTCCCATGGTATTCATTTTCATATGAAATAATAAAAAGCGCCATCTGTTGAACATTACGCCACAGATGGCGAAGCGTGGGACCGTACCCACGACCGAGCTTGGGGTCACGCAGAAAGTTAATAACTTGAGACCCGNCACAAAAATCCTACTGGTTTTGAACCAGGGACCTTCTGAACACTAAGCTGATGTCTTACCC